ACATAAAATCGGTTCCTCTCCAGTGACCATTCATTATACATTTTACTTCATTGATAAACCTGGTGGTTGTAGATATGAGTTCAGCAACTATTCGAATCGCCTCAAATTCAATTATTTTCTACAAGTTGGTTTTACATTTTCTTGGAGAAATAAAAGCAGTCATTGACTGTTAAATTTCATGAGAGTAAAAAGCTTATGAAATGATCACAGGATAAAGGGTTCGGAAAAATAGCTATTTCTGATTAAATTTCTGCATGATCAAGAGCTTATCTCACGAAGTAATCGCACAAACGTGCTACTCATCATACCAACTAATCCACTTAGAACACGATGATAACAGGTTTGTGCATCAGGGATTTAAATTTAAGGCACACTAGTGAAATAGATGACCCATTAGGAGCATGCCCACTTAAAGTGTAAAGCAATAAGTTGTAAAGAAAGTAGACAATAGGCAAGCGTAACAAGTCCTTAAGTTAAGATGAGGGACGTAAGGAATACTGTTTGATTAGCTTACAGATTACTGAGAGGCCGGAAACGGAAGCCTGGTAAATTGTTTAGCTTCTGTTGGTTCATTTGGTTTTCAGACAAATAACATAGCGTTGATTAGAAAATTAGATATGTGAAGTGTAACGAAACACTTGTTAGGTGTAATTAGTTTATGAATGGCGTGTTTTAGTCTAGAGGTTGAAATGTTCGTATACTATGAGAACAATCGCGGTATTTTAGTATCGTGAAATTTCGAAGGATGCACAGCAATTTCAAAGCATTAACTTTATTTATTAGTTTTGGGTCAGCTAACTCTAATGATTACTTTGTTTCAGATAAATTTTAGGTATGACACAAGATTAATAGGTACTAAATGTCTCACTGATTTGATTAGTATGCTCAGTAAAGTCTAGTTGTAATATTAAATGGTGATTGACCATGAAATGAGAAACTAGGTTGCGGTAAAGTTTGAATGAGTGACCTCTGAAGGCCACCGGTATCAATACCAGGCTACTAATCTACGGCTCTCTCAAATAACCAAACTCAGAACCTAGTGGTATTCAGACGTCGGCGTATGATTTACGTGGATGGATTAATATTAGTTTTCAGTCGTCCAACACCAGTGTTATGAGTACCATGATAGATGGCAGTTACTGCCATTTATTATATGATCATTATTTGTCCCTTGGGTTTCTAGTAGAACATAGGGATTCAGTAGCATGTCGCCATTACACTCTATTTTATTCAGTCTTCTCAACCTGGCTCAATGACTGCTTACAAGCTCTCATTTCTTCCTCACACCATCTCCTCCCTGTCACCATCGGACGCCCAGCTCGTTGTTTCCCCCTTCCCTTCCACTCAAGGGCCTGGCGCGTGATGTCCAAAAACCTTCTTCTCATTATATCCCCATTCCAATCCATCTCCATTTTATCCTGCATATTTGTTGCATGATAGCTTCTTGGTTGGTTCGCTCCCAAAGTTCCTTGTTGCTTATTCTTCCTGGCTATCCGATCTCTATTTTTCTAATGTCGAGCGTAGGCGGCAGCTGTTGATGTATGTCTCCAGTTTGTTGGAAATGCTTTTCGTAACGCATCAAGTCTCTCAACCATCACATAGAAACACTGACTTGACTGAATTAGTGTTGAAAATCTGCATCTTGTTCATGCTTTATGCTGAGTGTAGTGCAGTAGATATCCACAATTGTTTCAGGTTCATGAAGGCTTGTCCTGCTTTTCCGATCTTGCCTTTGACGTTTTCATCTGTGCCAGCGCCGCCACCTGTAGTTGAAACGATGCTGCCCTGCCCATTTAGGTGAAAGAGTCAACTTCCTTTCGATTTCTCCCATTCATGATGATTGGTGCTTGTTGTTGATGTTGTTGTTGTTGGTTGGGTATCTTCATCACCTCTGTCTTCTCTGCGTCCACCTGAAGTCCAGTCTTCGTTGCCTCATCTCTTCTGCCAACTTGTTAGTTCTTGCATGTCAATCTTCGCATTTGCGCGACAAGACACCAGACATAAATCATCATCGGTTAAATCCAAATCTTCTCCTGAGGTCTTTTCATCGGTGAAACAGCAAATGCCCATCTTCTTGCTCTCCACAGTTTGTTGCATTCTCCAGTCCGGTCCAAGCAGGAAGATGATCGGTGATAGTAGGCCGCAACCTTGCCTTACTCCTGACCTCGGTCTTCACTTCAAAGGCATCACTGAGCTTCACACTGTGAATCACTCCGCATGTAACACAACTTAGCATGTAGCTGTTGAATGAGGTTGATAAAGGTTTGTGACACTAAAACCGTAGTGTTGAAGCAGCTTCAGAATTACTTCTCGGTCGACCGTGTCGAAGTCTTTTTCAAAGTCGATGAGGATGAGGTAGAGAGTTGACTGCAATTCTATGCTCCGTTCTATGATGACGCGTAGCGTTGCAATTTGATCCGCAACATGATTTGTTACTCCTGAAGCCAGCCAGCTAGTTCCGGTTGTAATTTTCAATCCAGAGTGTGTTCAGTCTCTCCAGGATGATACGGCTTGGTATTTTGCTTGAAGTGGACAGGGGCATAATTCCACTCCAGTGTGACCAGGTAGTCCTTCTCCCACTCGACAGGTACCTTCGGAATTCCATCTGGCCCTGGTGCTATCCCGGATTTCATTAACTTCATGGCGTTCAGGATTGCACTTTTGCTTTTGTCCGAGGGCTTGTGTTCACTGGTAGTTATGTGGCTGGGCTGCTGGTGATATTTCTGGACGAGTTGCAGGTGGTGGTGGTGGTTGTCAATTCAAGAGTTTTTCGAAGTGGTTAACCCATAGCTTTGTTTGTTTCTCCTCTTTGGTAACTAGGTTTCCTTCACTATTTTTCATCAGTTTCACCTGTGTTGACCTCTTCCCTCTCAGATAGATACCTGGTTATTTGATGAAGTGTTGCCAGGTCTCTGTCTCTCCTACCTGCAGCCTGTTCTGCTTCAATAGTCGATGTGTCGCAAAAGTGTCTTTGGTTTATGCCTGCACTCCTCTTTACTTCTTTATCAAGTGTAGCGTTTTATAGGTGCATTCAGTTTCTCTTTTCGTTGTTCATCCCAGCACTTCACTGCACTGGTTCATCTTCTGCTTCACCCCATTCCTCCCTTCCATGTGTCCATGGAGATCCATTCCTTGTACTATTACTTATTCCTTTTTAATAGGATTATGCAGGTTTCCTTCCACATATCTTTCACAGAGTTCCAGTGTAATTTCAAACAGGTTTCTTCATGGGTGTTGCTGAATATCTCCCATTTTTTCCTGATAACTGACATGAAGATTTCCTTTGTAGTTTCATCCTTCAGTTTCTCTTCTGGACGTTGAATTTGAACTGTGCTCTGTCATCAACTTCTTTGATGGCGTTCAATTTGATTTTGAAGGAATGTTCCTTGTACTAGACAGTGAGTGGTGTGAACCTACATCTGCTCCCCTTCTTGACCTTGTTTCCCGTAGGCTGCATCTCCACTTTCGTGAAATGGAAATGAAGCACTGCCATTTAGTACCCTCAAATAACGTATTAGTATATCATAGAGAACCAACCTAGTAGCTTGCGAAGCCAAAGTTAGTTGCACTCATTCTATACCTAAACATCTAGATGGATGCGAGTCCGAAGTTGTTGAACTATACAGTATCATCAGAAATATATTTAAAGTCAAAGTATTCATTCTGAAAACGCTGACTGATTCAGTTCAGTTTTTGTCTGATTCCAGTTCTATGTGACTTTTCGAAAGAATACTGAGATCTCGGTTAATTTATTACATGTTATTGTGGACTTCATAATTCACTCTGTATTTGGCTTGCAGGACACTAAACAGTACAACAACTAACGTCAAACAAGATGTCAGCCACGCGAAACGGACTCTGAGGAAACTAATTTCTAACAGCAGAACTTTGTAGCATTTTCTACATAGTTCAACCATCATGTTCTCACTCGTCAAGGAAGAGTTGATGATAGGAGTATGTTTTAGTAACAAGTGTTGAACAGAACTCAAAAAGACTAGAATATTCCTATCGTTTTATTAGTGACATTTTCAGTCCACCACATCCTCTGGCACTCATAAAGGAAGAGTTGAAGGGAAGATGAAACATTGAGAATAGACGTTTTATGTAACACAAAATCAGTTCAGATAACCAGTGCTGACTACTAGCCGCTGGAACACTGTTCAGTAGTTGTCAGAAATACCAACTAACTTCTTTGTGAGCTAAGCAATCTGAAAATGTTCGAGGATTTATGTAGTGGTGGGAAACGAAACAATTTTATCCAAGCAGAGATTGATCAATTAGCCTTTATGGTAACTTATCATTTTGCAATCTGAGTTTGGAGTGGCTCGTTATTTATTTCACCGGACAATAAGTAGTGCTACTGCTCAATGAACAGACAAAAGTTAGATGTTGTTGGACATTTAGCAAGAAAAGGCAGAGCGAATTGACAGCAAGCGAATAACCACTTAACATCAGGGAGTACTGGTCATTTGTTTCTCCTCACAAGGTTTCTGAAGACTAAAATTCAGTGTTAACTAATTTTAATGTATAGTATAACTCAGTGTCAGTGGACAGATTCATTACTGTAAGTAATCTGTTCAGTTCACGAATTTAAATGAATGATGAAAACCCATATCATAGAATATACATCACAAACAAACATTCTGAATATTTGTCATGCAGTTATCCGTAAAATCAGTGTCTGGCGGAGGATTCAGATATCAACCTTAGCATAAATCACTACATGAGAATCGAGTAACCAATATACTTGAAACAACAACTATGACAACATTCCAATTTTTCGTTTTGCAGGTATCATTATGAGTTGGGTTGTTTAATCCCGAGAGAGAACACAATACAACCAAGATATTCGGAAAGCCTGCTTTATATGTTAGGATGAAGTTGGCAGAAAGTTGAGGCATCGGTTTTCATGCCTACTTGTTTCTGAGTTTCAAAATCCTAACTATGCACCTCTTAGCGGGCTTTGAAGAGCCATAGGGTTATCAGATACGTACACACACATGATTTGGAGAGTTTGTCCAATTTATTTTAGCCGCTGTTGGATAACCATTCCATTGTACAAACCACCTCAAAATCTACCAGTAAAAGCTCATCACTTGGTATCATCACTAATTAATGATTGTGTACATTCACTGGGAATTTCTGCTTCAATCTGTTTCACATTGCACGACATACGTGAAAAGTTTCTCAGAGAAAGTAACTTCGCATTTGAAACATTCATAGCAAATATTTATACTACTTATAATCAGTATAAAATGTCAGCAAAATCTTTCAGGATAAAACCACACATGCATGGTTAACTCGATAAATATGTTACTACTTTGCTTTTCATCCTTGCATTGATTTTTATTCCAGTAAGCACTATATCTTATGCTGAAAATGAAGATGTCGAAGGTTACGGATTCGGTCTAACTGTTGTCAATCACATACGTGCTGGACGTGACTGGCCGGAAACACTTTTGTTCCCACGTGTAGCATATTGTCGTGTTCCAGGAATCCGTTTAGTCGGTGTGAAAAACTCCTACACTGCTCAGTGTGCTTTACCCATAAATATGTTGAATGAGAAAATCTACATCTTCTTCTGGTTTTGGATTGTATTCCTACTGATTACATGCATTTTAAGCCTCATATTATGGCTCATACGACTGATACTAGCTCCGAAGCGTAAAGATTTCATTAAACGCTATCTTCGCTTGAAGGGGGTTACCTCTCCGAAGGGTGGTGAACTAAAACGAGGAGATTTAGATGAATTTATCGACAGTTATCTACGCCCAGATGGTGTATTCATAATTCGTATGTTGGCAATCAATGCAGGTGAAGTAATCACAGCCGAGATTGTCACCGAGCTTTATCATAATTTCATTGATCATTACAACCAGTCACATCCACCTGAGAAGGAAGATGATCCGCTAACAAAAGAAAAAATTGGATTCAATAATCTTGTTTAAATTGTTTTTAAACTCTTAGTTCAATTGCCTACTTTTCCCATATGAAAGAAATAATATTTCAAATTTTGGTTGAACACGATAAACACACATAAAATTTCAATGTTTGTATTCAACATTCCAAATTGACTTTATCATATAATGTGGCATATTGAGCAAGTGTGATTCCTATTTTGATTTTTCGGTAAATAATAGATCATGATTATCTTATCTGGTTTGTCAAAGAAGCAACAAATAACCGACTGTTCAGTGTTAGTACTTGTTCACTTATCATGTTAGGTGTTATATTAAGAATTGTATTTCTTCATAAATTGCGCTTTATTGTTAAATAGTCTACCAGTTTCTCCAAAAGTTTTGTCTCTCCTTAACAACTTCTGGGGAGTAAATCTTTGCAGTGATCACTTCATATTTGTCAATAACTAGTTTGCTATGCTTTAGGCATCTTCGTAGATTTGAATTGTATGTAACGCTATTATTGTTTACATCTGGCAAGTATTATAAGCAAATAAGGATAGAGAATCACAAGATCAAAGTCGTTTAACGTTAACTGTTTCTTACTGTCACCAATATCACTTGTTTCTGCAACATATTTTCAAGTGAACACCTTGATGGAGGAAGTCCAAAGTGTTCCAGAAACAAGTCCAGTCTGAAATAAGTCAAAATCCAACTGATGGTTTGTGGGAATTTATTCCTTTCAAGGTAGATTTCACTACAGACTGACATTACTGGGCAAACCCTTGAGAGCACAGGACACTGGATAGCCATTGTATCACAGTTTGGGACTCCATATTAGCTCTCACTCATGATTTCGTGACAGACCGAGTCTAGAACCATCAGATCTCATGACGAACACCTTAACATTCACCCACTAGGTCGGAATCGAACAGTCCACATTTTTCTACTTCTGTTATTGCACGATATAATACATTCATCATCCCGTGTCATCAGTGACTATTTATCATCACTTCCCACAGAACACGACTTAGCATTAAAACTTCGGAGAATCCACCTCACAACATGTTACTAATGGTTTTTTAAAATTACATGACAAGTATCACAAACTAGGTTAGCAAGCAGATCCCATGCTTGAAGTGAAATTTTGAGAGAGGCAAATAATCTGATGAAGTGCATGACGCATTACACACGTCTGGCAAACCGACGAGACCACATTTTCTCTAGATCAAAAAACATCTTATGTGGTGGTGCCATACTAAACAAATTTCGAGTTACCAAAGAGATATCAGTTATTCCTTGGTTGGAAAGACCCATGGCTTACGGATATCAGCGAGCACAATACCTAGGTAAGAGGCTTTCTAGAATCCAACACCAAAAACAGTTATATACTGATTTGACTGAGACCACATAACATGAATAACTTTGAAGAAGGAGGTGTTTGAAGTTGATGGGTTCCAAGCAGAGTGATGCACATTTTACTGGTCTCTGAAAATCATTGTTACAAAAAGTGTCTAGTCCTAAGATCATTATGACTAAAGTTATGAAACATTGTGAATGGTTTTCGCAGTATCCTTTTACGCAAACTTTGAAATAGTTTATTTTTGCCCGCAAATAGTGACGCTTTAGAAATACGGAAATCATATGTTATGGTCAGGAATAACTTCCTCCTTCAGATATCATGTTTATATCACCGGTTGTTGGTGCAGAATTACTCAATTAATGTACCTTTTAATTTTTTAACTCGTCTAAGCTATAAGCCACATTCATGTGTGGGGAATATGACACTATTTGGTTATCTAGATTGATGTAAGTGGAGGGAAATTCGAACCCAATACCGCCGTATAAGCTTGTGGGCTTCAACTTCTCTTCGAATATTATCGATGAAATAACGATTTGTAAATAATTTGAAAGATTTCGTACCACGGTTTTAATGTATTCAGAAACGTTTTAGGGATTAAGTGACCATAAGTATTTTCACATATGTACTCAACAGTTAGCTTAGAAAAAGACTAATTGAACGAAGAAATGTATTCCTTTTCAATTAGGTCTTCATCTTGGGCTCTACACTAATATATAGTTTTACAATTCAATCAAATTATCAATCACGTGGTGATGTTACAGAAATAATGATGTAAATAATCAATAGGGTTACTGAAATTGGTAATATGAAACAAGCTTATCTTTGGTGAATGGAGTGACTTTAATAACTGTTCAGTCATCCACAATAAGCGATTACTTAGTAATAGGAGACTAAATGAATATTGATAGAAACAAGAAAGGGAAGAGGTGTACAAAGTAAACTTAGAAGTATCATCAGGTTGACGGCCACGGTAATGTAAGTGGTAGAACAAACTTATTTTAGATACAAAAGCTAGGTTTGTAAAGGTGGATTACAATCGCCTCTGCTATATGAAGTAACCGAGTGCGTAATCCATGAGGTGAATTAATTGGCATCTGATGGATGATTTTGAAGGCTTTCCCAGTAACCACTTGATGTCCTGTGTCAACTAAGTGTGCAAACATGGAGCTCTCCATAGTTCTAATTTGTCCCTTGTTGAACCATGATGGATGGTGCTCAGAAATTTGACGATGGAACTGCTTCATTATACGCCCAATGTAACTAGCTCCACAGGAGCAGTTGAATTGATAAATGCACATAGAATTGGCAAAGTCAGGCAGTTTGTCTTTATTTCTTGCACCTAGAATGGGGCGGTTGTAGAAGGCGGGATATAATTTAGCGGCTGGGAATGCTTTATACAAGACTCTTTCTATGCGTTGTGTAGTGGTCTCACTGGCAATATCACTCTTGAACTCCAGCTTCAAGAAGATCTGCTTCTTAGGAACTGTTGGCATTGTTGTCTTAACCCTCGTAATATTCATGTGCTTAGTTACAAACTTGTCTGGGTAGCCATTCCTACTAAGCAGATCACGGATGTTGGCGCACTCTTCATTTATAGCATCCTCTGAGCAAATAGCTGAGGCACGGTATGCTAAGCATTTCACTAGGTTCCTTTTGTATTGGAGGGGTACAGCACTAAATAGGTGCGTGTGTTGACCTGTTGATGTTGGCTTTCTATAAACACTTCGCTTCAGGGTCCCATCTGACCTTCTTACCAAAGGAACATCAAGAGATGGGATACTGTCTTTTTTCTCCTCTTCCATTGTGAAATCGATTGCCTGGTGAACACTATTGAACTTATTCAGAACAGCATTCTTATCAGTCTCACTTTTGAGAACTATAAAGGTATCATCCATGCAACGACAATATAACTCTAAACGACTAATAGTATCGTTCAGTGGACCATTCTCAAGTTTTGCCAGAAAAAATCTGCTAAGAGCGGGCCAAGGAGTGACGCCTTAGCAACACTATCAGATTGCCGGTAGAGTTCATTGTTGAAAAGAAATTGTGCGTTCATCGTACACCTCAGAAGGAGTTCTTTCAATATCTATTTCCACGCCGAGCTTCGAGAGTTCGTTGCAAATAAAGTCTACTGTCTCCATCAAAGGAACGTTAGTAAAAAGAGATGAAACAGCACACAAAATCATTAACTTATTGTTTACTTCCAGATCCTCAATCTTTCTGACAAATTCAAGGGTATCTTTGAGATTGTACTTCACAACTTCTTTGTGGAGAGGCTTCAAAAGTTGTACTAACTACTTTGCTGTTGTATGATAAGGAGAGTTAGTCATGTCAAGAACTGGTCGTAGAGGCAGACCGTTTTTATGAAGTTTCGGTAGACCGTAAGGTGATGGAAATTCAAAAACGTACTCGGTTTGGTATTCGTAGCATAACAATACTCAATTTCCCTCTGCACAATTATTGTATCTTTAGGAATATGGTTAAGTAAATCAGTCACCGTTTGTCCTTCAGTTAATGATAATCTAAATCCACGGCAAAACTATTCTGATGCAGTCTGACTAATTTCTGTGCATAAAAACATTATAGATTTGTGGGAAAATATGGTTGATACCAGTGTTTCTTTAGAACACAATGCCTTACCGTTGATTTTGGAATCTCATGCTAAATATCGTAGAAACTGTACTTTAAGTATTCTGCTATAAAGTTATCATCAGTCTTTTCTTCCAACTGTGAGCATCGTTGAAATATTCTTCCAGATTTTGACTGATCCGCATTTCCTCTTATAATTTCAGTTAGGTCGAAGTCGACAGTAATACTAATGGGTCAATATTATGTACATCAGTGGGATTATAGACATGACAGCACTTGAGCGCTTAGCTTCGTAAACTGTTAGCAGCACCGCCTAAATCATTTTCAGAAGCTCAATATCTCTCTCTCTCTCCCAGATGACATTATCATTTCAATGATTATTCAATGAGATGTAATGGTTATCTTGCTGAGATCCTAACCGATACCTTACCTACAATTGACCCCAGTGTATCAGAACATCTTATAAATACGAGCCTGACCCCACGCCGATGAACGAAAACAGCCCAAGGACTGAAGGAATTGATCACGGATCTACGAATCAAGAGTACTAGGTCAATCTGAAGCTAATTTGAAGAAAACATTCTCTATGTGCGTTTGGAAATCTTCATAAAAGTTGATCATCTGAATATTTGTAGCTCTTGTACATGCTGAAATTAGCGAAAGACCTACTCTAATCAAAGTAGTCTGCCGGGTAAATGACATAATAGTATCATTGGGATACACATATATCAGTATTACTGATATGTTCAGTGTGAGTTTTTGTACGAAACTGTTTTTTTTAGAATATTTAAAGATGAAGTCCATATCAAATTTAATGCCTAATTTGTACCCTATAATAAGTCTGAACCTGGACATCTTTTGTCTCTGACCTTAAAAATGAAATTGGACTCTCTTCAGCTTTGAAATGTTGGAAAATACGAAGTCGCAAAGGTCAGAAATTAATTTTTTTCCCTCATCGGGATTTTACAAATATATTTCATTGATAATCCAATTGCCTAATCCTCAACTTATTCAACTCTATCAGGTCAAATTTTGATCCTGAAGTTTACAAGTTTTATTTATACAAAAGCTTCAGTTTTCGATAGAACTAGATCACTTT